ACCTTGCTGACATTGGCGGAGCATGAGCGAACAGCTGGATGGATCCGGGAGGATGAGGGGAACTGCCTGGGTGAGGGGGTGGTGGCAGCACGACCCTCTGCTAAGCTGTCCCCTGCATACCACTCTGGCACCTCAGAGCTCTCCCCAAATGAAATCAGAGGTTTTTCAGCACTTGATGTGGCTAAAGGGCAGATATATGTCACCACATTCTAATACTCTTCCTACCTGCAGATGAGGAAACTGAGGGTCAATGAGATGAAGTGCCTGCCCCAAAGGCACACAAAGGTAGGACTGGAACTTAGATGCAAGATCTTTCTGCCTCACCGGACTGCCTCCCCACAGTCCTGGAGTGTGCAGGCAAAGTCAGGAAACACAGCACAAACTCTTCTGAAATCACCTGGCTGAGGTCGTATTTGTCAGATTTCCCCACTATGAAGTTCCTATTTTTCCCCTTTTCCAGGCTGTTTTCTTTGGGAGGAAGTCACCATGCACAGACGGGTCTTAAGGACCAGGGAGTTCTGCTCCTCCCCTTGAGTGTGGAGTGCCTACATAAGTGATTTGGAATTCTGCATGAGAGATTTCTCTTTTGTTCTCCATTCATTCATTTATTCAGTTATTTATTTTTTTAAGTGTATGCTACTTACATTTTCAAATGATAAGCTTGTTATGTTTACAGGGGAAGTAACTTGCCATTGAATTACTGGGTCCAATTGTTAAGCTGAAAAAAGTACAATAAATGCACCGCAGGGTAATATCCAGAAAGTCTGGAAATGCAGGGAAGGTCACAAACTTATTGTGTGTTTTCTTGATTAATAATTAGACCCATTGGTTTAAATGTAGAGGTATTTCACCAGGAAAGGTGTGGGGAGGCCGAATTAAAACGTGGAGCGTGTTATCTGAAAGCGTTCCTAACGTATTGCTGAAATGTGAGTGTATCCTGGTCTCTGGCTTTGCTGGCCCAGGGCTGTGTCTCCCGTCGTGATGGAGCGGAGTCTGTCCTGTCTGTTAGCAACTCCGCTTCTCATGGGGTCTGTCTGGTCCCCACTCCTTTGAGATTACTAACACTCGGGTGGCAGGAAAAGCCTCAGTCCTCCTGTCAGGCCGATTCTTTCTCCATTCTATACTGGGATGGGGAAGAGCCTGGGGGCCACTTCATTTAATGGCAAATGCAAGAATCTGGAGAGAAGCTGTGGCTGGCGTCAGACACAAGGCTTTGCAGAGTGAGAAGTGGTCAGCGTCCTCAGCTGCCCCCTTCCTGCTGGATAGTGCTCTGCCTCCCAGAATCTATATCCCCTGTCCTGGCGATTGTTCCCACAGTGGACCCAAGCAGACCGGGTCAATGAGAATCTCTGAGTGTGCCTTCTGGAAACTTCCCACCTAACCTTGGAGGAGCTGTGGAAAGGGGATCTCCAGCAACTCGATCAGGATCAGGATCGACCATGTCGTTTCCCCCAGTTCTGTGAATAAGTGACCAACCCCCCTGGTTATCCTGGGCCTGTCCTGGCTTTAAAACTCAAAGTCCCATGTCCTTGGAAAACGCTCACTCTCAGGCAAACCAGGAGGGTTGTTCACTCTGCCAGGGAGACGGTCGCTTTGCCATCTATCTTCAGCTTCTAGAGAGGAAACAGTGAGATCGGAGCAAGGTGAGGGGAAATTGCAGGAGGCGAGAGCTCAAGATGGCCAAGAGGAGGCACCCTCCCCACCCTTCTGCCACACAGAAGATGGATGGGTGTCTGTGTAACATGAGAAAGGGCTGAGGTGGTGAGTTCCTCCCTCGGGGATGTTTAGCAGAGCATTTAGCAGAGTGGATGTCTGCTTTGGGGCCCACCTCCTGGCCATTGCCAAGGTGACTCCATCTCTTCCATCAAGGAAGACCCCTTAGGTTCTTAGTGTACAGGAAGCCCGTAGGAGGATGTAGATGTTTATACATTGAAATGTATGTGAGCTTGGCGAAGATGCTCGCAGTCAGTTGGTTAAGCAAGGAAAAAAAAAAAAAAAAAAAAAAAAAAAAAAAAAAAAAAAAATAGAGCAGGTTGCAGGATGCTTCGCACCATACAAGCTCTTTTCTGTAAATAAAGAAGTTTAGAAGCAGCCCGCCAGGATGACACCTCCTGCTTGCTATCTTTAACCGTGCATCATAAACAAGTTTAAAGATGCTCATTTTGGTTTTCAGAGAGGAAGAAAAAAAAATACTGTGGCTTTTATTATAATAATTGTAATGCTCGTAACAACATTCCCAGCTTTGAGCTGCTTGCTGCATTTCACCATAAACACAAGGCCGGGAGCTTGTCTGGGGATCGCTGTGGTCACGCAGCATTGGGAGAGTTTTCTTTCTTTTTCTGCTCTTCTGGGAACTTGTATCGATGCATCTGCCCATTTCCACGCTGAGCAGTGTGTTTGTGGTTCTTTTCTTAAAGATCCAAGTTGTTTTTCATCAAAACTTTCCTGGATTTGATGGATTTGATGACACTGATGCCCTTTGACCAAAAAGTGGAGTCCAAATTTTAGAGCCACCAAGGCAGAATGACTGCAGAGAGTCTGTAGGAACCCTTTCTCTCTCTTCTGGCTGCAAAATAAGACATTTGGCCATGGCCTCTGTGATCTTGAAGCTGGAGAACCTCAAAAAAGCTGAGAGAACCCCCCAGATTCTGCTGGGGGTGCCTGTCGTGAGGTCCCAGGACTCGGTCAGGCCAAGTTTGCTTCCTCGCTCACTCCTGGGAAAGGTACAGCATGCAAGTTTCCTAGAGAACCCCAGGCAACGGCTTTCTAGACTGTCTAACCTCTGATTCAAATTAAGAGATGGTTGCTAAAAGGACCTGCTGGCAAGCTACCCCCTTTGACAGTTTCTGCAAAGCGTTAAACACACACGCCCTTTTCTCTCTCTGGAACTGAGTTATTCTTCCCTGCAACAGCACACACAACTCCAGGACCTGCTGCCTTGCTACGTGCTCTCTTCTTCACCCACGTTGTCCCCAGGAAGATGCTGGCACAGAAGTAGATTAATCTCACAGCCCACCCGAGCTGTCTGGGGGCATGGGTATCCTCTCCCCATCAGCATCCAGTCATTCAAGCTGGGAACCCCAGAGGAGGAAACACCTGTCCACCCTGTCTTAGGGATGGGCTGAGAATTCCCTGAGATACAGAGTGAGTCACCGCAGGACCGTGGAGCGGAATTTACTCATCCCCCAGGAATGGACCCTTGGAAGGCTCCAGAATGACTAGCCTCAAGTGTTCTGTCTCAGGCACAGGGCATTTTCCCCCTGAACCATGTCTGCAGTCACTTCCTCTCCGGACACATCCTGTTTCTGGGAGCAGGCGACTTGCCAGGCAGATCGCAGCCTCTGCTCCTGGGAGCAGACGGGCGGAGACATCCTTCCTCTAATTTCTAGTACCTAATCCCATCTTCCTTCCCAGCTGAAGATATCAATCAGCATCTCTGCTTTTCCCAGGTCCCTGCACGGCAGGAAGGGAGAGTATAGAATGAACATGTTTCTATTGGCAACTCTAACTCATTGGAGGTGCTGAGAAACTACTGCTTCTCAGGCACAGGTAATGAAGAAAGCATCCAGGGCCAGGATCCATCCATCCGTTCATTCATTCATATAATAAATGTTTATTGAGTACCTACTACATGCCAAGTCCTATTCTAGATGCTGGGCAATGGAGGTAAACAAAACATAAAAATCAATGTCCTCATAGCAATTACGTTCACTGGGAGGGGCAGCTGATAAACATGATAAAAAATATAAAACATTATGGCATGTGAGATAGTGATAAATGCGAAGCGGAGAAAACAAAGCTGGGAAAACAAATACGCAACGTTAGGTATGGAGGGAAGCGTGAGACATTCACAAGGTGGCTGGAGACGTCCTTCCTGGGAGAGGGAATTTTGAGTAAAGGTTCGAAGGAGGCAAGGGAGCAAGCAATGGGGGCAAGAGCATTCTGGGCAGAGGGAACCGTGAGTGCAAAGGCCCTGAGGTGAGAGCATGCCCAGACCGTGTGGAGAACAGGAGAAAGGCCACTGTGGTTGGAGTGAAGTGAGGAAGGGAGAGGCACAGGTGTTAAAGTCAAAGGTTAAAAGGAGCCACGGCACGCTGCGACTTGTAAGTGGTAGGATGGACTTTGGTTTTCACCCCGCGATATGGAAAGCCACAGGAGAGTTTGAATAGAGAAGTGACAGGATCTAATTTATGTTTCAACAGGCTCTCTCAGGTAGCCTGAAGAGGGTGAGGGCCGAGAGACCACATAGGAGGGGAACGAAATAGCCTAGAGGAGAGATAATGGTGGCCTAGGAAGGTAGTGGCAAGGGGGCATAGAGAGCAGTGGTTCTAGAATATTCTGAAGATGGAGTTCACAGGATCTACTGACAGACAGGATATGGGCTATGAAAAAATTCGAGGAGATCGAGATAACAATAACACTAACGTTTTCAACCTAAGTAAATAGAAGAACGACGCTGCCATTAATGAAGGTGAAGAACCCTGTCGCAGGAGCTGACCCGGGGCAGACTATTGAGAGCTTGGTTTGGGCCATAGAAGGTTTGAGATGCCCAGTAGACACCCATGTGGAGCTGTCAGGTAGGCTTTGGAGACGCGAGTATGTGCTTCAGAGTAGAGGTCCTGGCCGGAGATATAAATTTGCCGTCATGCTTTTCGTGCGGGTGCTGGTCAGTGTGGGTTTTATGTCATACGGTAAACATTTAAAAAATGTAATCCTAAAAAATTTCTAGTATGTGACCCTTTAAAGAGATAGGCCAGATTGTGTGGTTTCTCTGCTTGAAACATGCAAATGATTTTTCCTTTCCACTCAGATTAAAAAGCAAAGTCTGAAGACAATTTGGTAGCGTCTCCGGAAGCAAAATCTATGCCCAATGGTTCCACCGCTGAATATCCACTCAACCGAAATGCACACTCATGCATTCCAAAGATGCAAACGAGAATACTCATAGCAGAGCTATTCGAAATGGCCCCCAAACTGAAAACAATCCAAATGTTGATCAGTGGTAGACCGGAGAGAGAAATTGTGGTTTATTTATACAGTGCAATAACGCACAAGAATGAAAAAAACGAGCCATGACTGTACACAACAGTATAGAGAAATCTCACAAACAGAACATCGAGTAAGGAAAGCCAGACACCAAAGAGTAATACTGTATGATTCCATTTGCATGAAGTTCAAAAACAGGTAAAATTAATCTATAGAAATAGACATTGAGCTAGTGGTTATCCTTGAGGGGATAATGACAGAGGAGGCAGGAGAGAGGCTTCAGGGTTGCTGGCATGTTCCACCGCTCAGTCAGGATTAAACAGGTAGATCCAGTTGGTGAAAATTCATTGAGTCGTATATTTATGATGCGTGGCCTTTCCTCTACGTGTGTTATATTTCTGTAAAAAGCTTACACAAAGTCCTTATCTAAAAGGCCCTAAATGATCATACCACTCTCTCCTTTCAACTCCCACTTCTGGCTGCACCCCAACTTTGTTCACTCCACTCTTATGACGATTTTCTCCTTACTGTCCAACATACCATTGTTGGTTGTTCCTCTCTTGAAGGTTTTGCAATTACGACTCCATTTATTCCCAGATGTCTCCACAGCCCACTTCCTCGCCTAGTTCACGTCTCTGCTCCACCTTCTCTTTATCAGAAAATTCTCCTCTATCGGACCCATGTGGAATAACATCCTCTGCCACTCTTGGCCCTTACCCTTCTTTATTTTTCCTAAGTATTTCCTAAGTATCACTGCTTTACATATTATGGGTTTATTTGTTCATTTATTTATTGTCTGTCTCTCTTACTGGAATCTAAGCTCCATGAAAGTAGATACTTTGTTCACTGTTGTGTCTCTAGTACCTGAATTGGGACCTGGCACATGGTAGGTGCTCAGTAAATATTTACTTGATGAATAAATACAATATACAGCAGTGAATAAGACAGACATGGTTTCTGCTTTTTTGGAGAAAAAAATGCTTAAATCTTTAAGAGGAGTATAAATAATCTAGCTAACTCTGAATAGGAGTTGTATTTCTTTTTATTTTCATTGGGTTTAGGACAGGGACTGACCTGTAGAGTAGATTTTCAACAGATGATTATTGTGGTCTTTAAAGCTACATTTCTGAGCTTAGAAATTCATTCTCTTAAAGAAAGAATGAAGACAGTTGATGAAATGAATGAATGAATGAATGAATGAACAAATATTTTTAGCCCCGTCTGGTTTCCAAGCCATAGAAAAGAGACTGGATTCAAGCTCACCAGTAAGTTCCTGAAGTCAGAGGTGTGTGTGTGTGTGTGTGTTCCCCGTCCTAAGAAGATGTGACTGCCAACACCATCAACATGCTGGAGATCATTTCTATAGCTCGACAAGACCATTGCATTCTGAGCAGCAACTCTAGGGCATTGGAGCTCTCAGTATAGGGAGACTGGACTTTTCTTGATCAGTAGGAGCAAGGCAGGGCAGTGAGGTGCCCTGTATGAGAGCTTAAGACAGGGCTCCAGTTCTGGAGAAGAATAAGCATACTGAATAGGAGACCAAGGAGAACATATCACTAGCTCTGTGGGAAGCAGCTCCCCAAAGATGTGCCTGGGCCGGTGTCTCAGCTGCAAGCCTCACGCCCATTCATATCTTCACAGCAATGTTCTTACAGTGATTCGGCCAAACCTGCATTAGGCTGCACCTGCAGCTGTCCAGCTGGAAAGCCAAGTGCTGGGCTCCTGGATGCCTGCAAGGATCACAGGATTTAAAGGGTTACATGACTGGGAATAACCCTCCTCCCGCCTGTTGGGTCTTTTATTCCACCAGCTCACATACCTTCTCAAACAGTAATTAACCTCCCCGTAGCCCCAAGTGAACGCTAGAGATGTTAAACACAGTGCTCCTTGTTCAGTTGGGAGAAAAGAGGCAAGAGCACCTCTCAATGTCTTGGCTCGAGGGCACACACAGTGAGTCAGAGATGTCTCCCAGGAGGGAAGTCTGGAGTCCTGTCCACAAGTGACATGTTTTATTTTAATCACCACCCCACCCAGCGTCTTCTGGTCGCTTCCTCACAGCTCCGTGGTGTCTGTCACCACTCCTCCATGAGCTTGCCCGCTCCCAAAACGTGTTGGAATTTTTCAACCATGAGATCTTTCTCTTCCCTTTATCTGTGTGCGTGTGCGTGTGTGTGTGTGTGTGTGTGTATAGAGTTGTAATCTTTATATTTTTAAAAATTATATTATTGAGGTATCTGGAGGCAGAGGAGAAAAAACCCATGTGAACAATTTGCCATTATTAAAAAGTAAATTTGAAAATTTTACTGATAATACCACTTTACAGAAAATTCAGGGGAAGAAAGGTGGGGGGAATCTCTTGTCTCTCATCCCAGCAAAACCACTATTATCCTCCTGGTGTATTGCTCATACGATTCTTTGCTACACATGTTTTCAGAATGTGGTCATTCTTGGTTTGCGTGAAATTTATATCCTTTTTTGTTTTTCACTTGACAATTGCATTTGTCAGAAATTGCAGAAATCTGAAGCATTTCTCCCATGTTTTGACATAATCTTTATAATCATTGCTTTAAAGATTGCACAGTATTTCATCAAAATTATTTACAAGACTACACTTTTACTAGAATTCTATTGTTGGTCTCTGTTACCAAATATTTAAGGTATTCCTGGTATTAATTTATAAATGTATTGGGGAAAGAAAATGAAGTAGGGTAACTACACCTGGTATTTCTTTATTTTTATTTTTTATTTTTTCTTTAAAATTTCACCTCCCATAGTTAGATTTCTTTCAGTCCCCACAGATTTGACCCCTTTTACCCCATCTACCTCCCTCCTCCCCCCGTTCATGCCCACGAGTCTCTTGTTTGTTTGTTCTGTTCATTTGTTGCTTTTAGGTGCCATTCATGCCCACGAGTCTCTTGTTTGTTCTGTTCATTTGTTGCTTTTAGGTTTATATCTCAGTATTTCTTTTTAACTAGAAGAAGCTATCATTTGAATGTTGCCAGGGAAATTTAATAGATGATAATGATGTATAAATTAAAGGGAAAAATATAGATAATTTTTAAAAGTAGTGTTGAGGACAACTGAGTAGTCATCTGGGGGGAAAAAACTTGGATCCATAACTTTCACTGGGATAAATTCCAAATGCACTAAATATTTAGATGTCCAAAAAGAGAAAAAAAAAGAAACTATAAAAGTACTTGAAAAATCCATTGGAGAATTTTTTATTATTTTATAAGTGGAAATTTTGTCCAAGTGTGAAACTAAGTCCAGAATCCATAAAATAAAAAATGGATAAATATGATTATATAAAAATCTAATTCCTTCATGGCAGAATTTACTATACATGCAGTCAAAAGACAAATGACAAACTGGGAATACATTTTCAATTCCAAATTTAGAAAAGGCTAATTTCCCTAATATATAAAGACTTCCTACAAATTGGTAAGGAAACAAGCCAATAACCTAGTAAGAAAATGAGCAAGGACTATGTACCAACAAGTCACAGAAAAGGAAACACAAATCATTTTTAAATATCTTTTAGAAATGTTCACTAAGAGAAAAGTCACATGAAAACAACCCAGAAAGTACTAGTCTTTGTCTTTATCTCTCAGATTGGCAAAGACCTGATAGTTACTGCCTCCTGGTTAACTGAGTTACTAAATGTCTATGGAGAGCAAATTGGTGATATCTACCAAAATTAATGCTTACATACCCTTTAATTGAGCATTTAGCTCATTAATTTGTCATGAACAATGGTGCCTCTGTGATATTATGATTTATAATAAGGAAACTATATTTGATCTTTCTCCCCTTCCTGGCACAGGGCTGCTAAAAATCCCTTGGAATTCCCTAAGTGATGAAAGAAGCTCTTAGTGTCTTTTGTTATGTTAATTAGGTCACTTTTGGCCTAAGGGTGGGACCTGGTTGCCAGGAGACTCAACTATGTGATTGGAGGGTTAGAACTTTCAGTCTCACCCCTAGACCTCCCGGAAAGATTGAGTTCAATCACCAATGGCCAGTGATTTAATCAATCATGTCTGTGTAATGAAAACCATAAAAACCCAGAAGGAGAGAGTTAGAGAGCTTCCAAGTTCATGAACACATTGAGATCAGGGAGAGTGGACCCCCTGAAGAGGGCATGGAAGCTCTGTGCCCTTTCCCCCATATCACGCCTATGCATCTCTTCCATTTAGCTGTTCCTGAATTATATCTTTGTGCAATAAGCCCGTAATCCAGTAAGTACACTTCCTGAGTTCTGTAAGCTGCTCTAGCAAATTAATCAAACATAAGGAGGGGTTCGTGGAAACCTCTGATCCGTAGTCAGTGAGAAGCACAGGTGAAGATGGGGAGTTAACAGTCTTGTAGGTTGAGTCCTCAACCCGTAGGGTCTGATACTCTCTCCAGGAAAATAGTGTTAGAATTAAGTTGAATTCAAAGACATGCAGCTGATATCCAGAGCATTGCATGACGGTGTGTGTGGGGGGAGGGGAACCCCCTCTATGCATTGAAATTTGGGTGCAGAACCCTTTTACCCTTATTAAGGTATTGGTTGCATTATTGATTGATTAGCAAAAGATTGGAAACAACCTAATAAGAGATTGGTTAAATAAGTTATGATATATCCAAATTTTGCACTGATAGGGAACGATAAACAAGATGTGAACAAAGATTATGTATGATCAGTTCTCGTATTGTGATATTGGTTAGTCTAACATGGTCCCTAAGCAGGAGGCTGGGACAGGATTGGAGGATGCTTTTCACTGTGTACCCCTTTGTATTATTTAATTTTTGAGTGAAATTGATTGCCTACTCACAGAAAAGCATGACATTTACATTTTAAAAATTAAAAATAGAAGGTGCCAGCAGTGGGGATGATCTTTAGGAAGCACCCCCTTGAGTGGTTTCTTGTAGTTAGGCTGATGTAAGGCAAAGCGTACCCCACACTCTGGGGGCTTCCAGTATGTGAACTCCTCCACCTGGACTCCTTGGAGGGCAGAGCTCAAAAATCGTTGGGGAGGAATGGGAAAATCTGCCCTTAGAGAGGTTTATTGGCTTGGAGTCTCACTGATGGACTGAGTTAATCCTCGCTGAGGTCATCTGATGGACAAAGGGGACTGAAGGAGGAAGTGGCCAGGAACCCAGACCCTGCCTTCCGGGGGAAACGAGAAGGGTGGCCAGTCTGTGCCCGAATGCCCACA